CTTTTCTTCACCAAAAATTATATATACATGCACATAAAAGAGTATGGCGGCTTCACTAGCCGACCTCTCTTTCTTTTAATATACTACTCCTCATACACACATACACATCATACATACATATATCATATATATATATATATATAATTAAATAAATACATATACATATATATAACCAAAATAATAACCAGACTATTACAATATTCCCTCCTTAAAAGAATTTCGTCCCGGAATTCACTTTAAGCAAAAAGATAGGGATATTTCATCCGCATTTCCGACTCTGGTTCCTAGGTGGCATCTGATCCTTTATGATAACGCCACTGAACCTTTACTAACCCAATCTCTTTGTTTCGTAACTTCTTCACCTTATAGTCAGTAATTTGCTCCGGGATTTCTTCAAAACATAACTTTTCATCTACCTTAATTTCAGGTAATGGTATTGCCACATCTGGACTTATTAGACACTTCCTCAAATTTGACACATGAAACGTGTCATGTATTCCACTTAATTCTAAAGGAAGTTCTAACTTATAAGCCACTTCTCCAACTTTCCCAATAATAGGAAATGGTCCAACGTATCTTGGACTTAATTTCCCTCTTTTCCAAAACGTACTATTCCTTTCCAAGGTGATACTTTCAACATTACTTTATCACCTATTTGGAACTCAATCGGCTTCCGACGTTTATCTGCATAACTTCTTTGTCTATCTTGTGCCGCTTTCATTCGTTCTCGTATTACCCCAATTTTATTTGCAGTTTGCTGAACTAACTCAGGCCCAGCTAACTGTCTTTCACCTATTTCATTCCAACACAAAGGAGTTCGACATTTTCGTCCATACAAAACGTCAAAAGGTGCTGCCTAAATACTCGAATGATAGCTATTGTTGTATGCAAATTCAACCAAAGCCAAATGACTATCCCACGACCCTCCGAAATCAATAACACAAGATCTCAACATATCTTCTAATGTTTGGATAGTGCGTTCACTCTGTCCGTCAGTTTGAGGATGATAAGTTGTACTCAGCTTTATTTGTGAACCCATTTTTCTCTAAAAACTCTTCCAAAACATGGAAGTGAAATGACTATCTCTATCAGAAACAATTGATAACGGAACACCATGTCGTGTCACTATCTCATCGAGATACAACTTTGCCAATTTCTCCATTGAATATGACTCTTTCATAGGTAAGAAATGTGCAGATTTAGATAACCGATCTACTATCACCCATATAGCATCATACCCCTTCGATGTTCTCGGTAATTTGGTTATGAAATCCATAGTAATATGATCCCATTTCCAAACCGGAATTTCTAAAGATTGCAACTTACCATAAGGAYRCTGGTGTTCAATCTTTACCTGAAGACATGTCAAGCATTGTTCAACATGTTTAGCAATGTCTTTCTTCATACCTGGCTACCAATAATGTTGTCTCAAATCCCGATACATTTTATTTGTACCTGGATGTATCGCAAAACGTGATTGATGAGCTTCATTCAAGATACGCTTTCTGAGATCACCATAACATGGTACCCAAATTCTGTTCTGGAACTTCTAAAATTCTATATCATCTCTTACCAAATCAGATACTAATCCACCCAATCTTTCACGTTTGATCTTATTCTCTTTCATTGCCTCATGTTGAAATTCTCGTAACTCTTCTTGAATACTGGGTAATAACTCAACTCGTAATGTCATAGCTTTGATAGTTCCACTTTTCTCTTGTCGACTTAACGCATCGGCCACTACATTTGCTTTTCCTGGATGATACAAAATCTCACAATCATAAYCACTCACCAATTCCAACCATCTTCTCTGACGCATATTCAGAT